CTCCCTCTCCCCTGGAGGAGGAGTAGGGCGACGACGTCGACGACGACGATCAGACTATGACAACGACCAGAAACCTCCTGAGACCCCCGAACTCCCTGGGGGTCCCTGGGCGCTGGAGAAAGGCAGCAACAACGCCACCAACGTCGATCTTCGATGAGGAGGACGAGGGGCATCGCTGAAACCTCCGGGAGCTCGCCACCTCCCTCCTCGCACCACCCCTGGAGGCAGGAACATCCACGACGACGGCAGCGAGGTCGAGGGGGGAGACGACGACGATAATGACAAAGAGGAGGAGGCGGAGGAGGAGGAGGAGGAGGAGGAGGAGGAGGAAGAGGAGGAGGAGGAGGAGGAGAGAAGGAGGAGGAAGATGTGAAACAGGTAAATCAGACAATGGTGCGAGCGCCCTCGTATGGGGTTCTCTCAAGGGGGTCTCCCCTGGGCGCGTCGAGGATATCTGGATCGCAGGCGCCGCGTGCATAAACGAGCAACGCGACGCGCAACTACGTATGTCCTGGCCACCTTCAGGAGCAGCCTCGTGTCCTGCGAACGAAGGGCCAGCTCCCTCGCGTCCCGCGGAGGGTGGGTTAACCCTCTATGGCGCCAGAAGGCGCAGGCGGCCGCGCCAATGCGCCTCCAGCTTCCCTCGCCCCAAACGCAGGGGAGGCCGAGTCCAGATGAGGCCGCAGGATGCCCTTAACGCAAAAAGAGAAAATGGTCAAAAGCCCCACCCCCCGAGCATCGCAGCGTGCAGAAGTTCGCGAGTAGCCCAGAGGGCCTTCTCCCAGAGGGCCCCGAGTCCCCGAAGGCATCTTCGCGCCGTTCTCAAGCTGCTGCTCCGTCGGATTGGGGCTGCAACCCGAAGTGGCCACAGTCTGTACGAGCCCATCCTTCCACATTGCTATATGTCCTCGAGACCTGTGTTGCCACCTGCGCAAGCGTCGGCGTCCATGGTGGTTTAAAGACTTGGTGGTGCTTGGCACCCGATGGAACGCCGTCGTCTCAACGCCCTTCATGCGCACAGCCGTGGTCTTGCCCTTGCGTTCGTCCCACTCCGTCCAGAACGCCGCCATTGAGCCGACCTTCATTAATGGAGTCCACACACTTGATATCGCTGTTGTGGAAGAAGATGCTGGCCCGGAGACTCTCATGGAACCAGGCTCCTTCCTGGCACCAAAGCTGTGCAATATTTCCTGGGCCCCAGCAGCGTGGCTGCCGACGGCCTCAATCGACACTCGCGTCGGCAGTCCCAAGAGATTTGCTCTCGGCGGCCGCTTCTTTAGCCTGGCGACGCCATGCAGCGAAAGCGAAGTCCTGGTCGTCTCGGACGTAATCCACGCCGCCTGCGCCGCTTCCCTTCAAGATCTTCTGCTCAACTGGATCGCCAACATGTCGTGGTGAGTGTACGGTGATGGCATTTTGCTCTCTGCAGGGGGCAAACTGCCCGTGGTGAATTCTATAGCACGGCGCTAGCCCCGCGCGAGGGCCGCCGCGGCGTCCGTCCTCGCCTGGCGTGCCGCCGCCCCGCGGGCTCGCGCCTCCTCGGCCGAGGCTCGGCCTCCTACGGTGATGGCATTGGATGAGGAACCCTTCGATAAGGAAGCCAGGGTCTGGAAGCCTGTGGAAATCCGCTAGTGGATCGGCCATGAATATTGCCGCCCCCCTCATCAGATAAGGAATCCTCCAGGGTCTGCAGCCTCCTGGGCACGTTCCTTAACCAACGCCCCCACCGTCGCCCTGCTGGTCACACGTCCCGTTATACATCACCGCGGGCTCGCACACGAGCTCCATGCCGGTTTCTATCAGTCCCTGGCAGTCGCTGATCACGCTCTCCTCGCTACGGTCTCCAACGAAGCAGCTGCCAACCGCAAGGAGGGCCGATTGCCTTGCCGCCGCTCGCGAGCGACTCATTGCGGCCACCGTGAGCTTCAGAAGCGGTTGCTTGCTCTTGCCTCCCTGTGCTATGACTCCATGCCGCAGCCAAGGGCGCCCTGGCCACCGCTTGCGATGTCTCCGTCGAGAGAGATGGTGGCCGACTCCGCGGCGAGAACGGATGCCCAGCTCCGTGCTGACGATAACCTCGTGGAGGCGGAAGTGGGTCTCATCCGCTTGGGCCACTTCCCGCTTTTGAAGGGGCCCTGGGACACACACAAATAATTAGACACACATAACACGATTCCCCATAGTTTCTCATATGTTCTGGGTTTTGGTCTTCCTCCCCACTTCCCATATTCTCCCATATTTTTCTCGGGAATCGAGGATGAATTGTGCCTGTATGTGTGTGTTTCCCCTCCCGAGCCCTGCTTGACCGCGGCTGCGCTCCGCACGCCGAGCGCGCCGTGGCTCGGGGGACAGCCGCGCCCTCTCCCAGAGTGCGCTGTCCCAGGCAATCCTGGAGACCTGCAGGGAGGGCTCGAGCCAGCGCGGCTGCGGAGGATAGGGGGACGCCGAGGAAGACGAGGACGAGGTGGAGCAAGGGCTCCCAACTTCGCGCTTCGCGCTGCGCGAAGCGCGAAGTGCGAACAACTTCGCGCCCTCGCGCCGCCTCCCAGGGGAGAAGCGGAGGATGAGGAGGAATCAGAGCCGAACCGCGAAGCGCGAATCACTTCGCGCCCTCGAGCGCGCCCTTGTGGAGGGGGACTACGACGTCGACGACGGCGAGGATGATCAGAGAGGGGGAGGACGTCCGACCGTGCTGCTGAAGTCTGGCCAGCGAGGGAGGAGACTGGGCAGCGGTGGCCGCCGCGCCTGCGGCTCGCAGCCCCGCCTGCAGCTCCGCCTGCGCCTCGGCTGCGAGAAGGAGGAGGGGGAGGAGGAGGAGGAAGAGGAGGAGAACCAAAGTAAAGCTAGAATGCATCAACGATGCTGCAACTCTCCCTCCCGCCCCACGTTCCCTCCTCATACGTCCCTGCAAGCCGTCATGTTCACCACAAAGAGCGCCCCTTTGAAAGACGAGCATCGCATGGTCCTGCCTTTCAGGCGAAGTACCCCTTTTGAAAAAAGGAATTGCCTTGCATCCTTCAAGCCAGCGGAACTGTAGGACCACCCTCGGGCGGTCTTCAGGACCCGCAGGGGCGCTTCAAGAGCGCCCAGAGGGAACCCAACGGAGCTCCAAGAGGGCACTCCTGTCGAGATCAATGGTAAGCAAACCCCACGATGGCCCGAAGAGTCCCAGGAGGCTTCAAGCTACCTCCAACATGACCCCAGACAACACCAAGAGCGGCCCCAAACGCCAACATGAATTGCTTTCTCAGAAAGGTTCTTGAAGGATTTTGGCGTTCTCGCCTTTTCGCCTTCCCGACGCTCCTAGGCAGCCCAAGAGGCCCCAAGATCGCTCCAAGACGGGCCAACAAGCCCCCAAGAGAGTCGCCAAATGGCCCTAAGACGGCCCAAACGGCCCCCAAGACGGCCATGGGATGGCCCCGAGAAGGGGGCCCAGAGGGGGAACCCGAACGGACATGTCGGGCTCTCGGCCCCACGAGGCGCCCACCCGAGGCCCCCAAGGAGCCCCCCAAGAGCCCCTCCAAGAGCCCCCCCAAGAGGCCCCAGAATAGCCCCAAGAGGTCCCCAAGAGGTCCCCAAGAGACCCCAAGGAGGGTCCCAAGCGGCCCCTCCTGCCTGCCCAACCCTTCCGCCTCGGCACGAGAACACCACCACGCAGCCACAGTGGTGCGAAACGGGCCGGTGGAATGAGCGAAGCGATTCAATTCGGCGGACTCCCTGCAGGTCCGAGCCGTTTTGTAACCTCGGAGGGTAGAAGATGAAAGGGAGGATGATGGAGGAGAGGGACGAGAGGGAAAATAATGAACAAAACATGCTACGAAGATCTTTGCACATTCCGCCGGCCGAAGATGTTTCGGAGATGCTTCGATGAGGCCAACTTTTAGTCATTCTCCTGGACACGCCAAAATACGAATGCAATGCCCTCCCAGGGCTAGGTCCATGTGCGTGATAGCTCCTGGGGCACGCGGGGATTCACACCACGTGCCCGTTTCGCTTGAGACATCCTCGACCAAATCGTCTTTCCTGGAGGCTCCAGCTAAGCCGTCGTATGCTAAACATCGGCGTTTCGCCTGAGACATCCTCGGAACATGGAGGTGTCGAAATCGCTGGTCGAATCTCGGAATCCTAAAGTGGACCTTTCGCCTCAGACATCATCGAACCATTTTGAGGTTGAAAGATCTGTTTTACGACCTCTTAGGTTAAATATGAAACTCTCGCTCGAGACATCCCCGGGTAATTGAGATGCTCACGGAGCTCGCGGATTCGTAGTCTTCTCAAACATCTACGTTCCGCCTGAGACATCCTCGAACACTGCCATTACGAAATAGCTGTTAAGACTTGTGAGGTTAAACGTGTACCTCTCGCAAAAACAAACACATCATCAAAAATGGGGGTGTCCGTGGAGCTTGCGAATTCGTCGTATTCCCAAACATGCAGCTATCGCTCGAGGCATCCCCCCAAACCATGACACGTTGCACAAACTATCCCGGGACACGTGACAACACGGATGACATGCCCTCCAAAGACCACGAAACGCTCCATTCAGCACACCGCTCACGCACTTCCTTCGGGGATCTTCTGACCCGGGTTAATCCAAACCCGGGTCAACAGGAAACCAACAAACTGCAATGCAAGAAACAAAAAAAAAAAAAACTGCAACCCAAGTCTTCGCAAACCCGGGTCAGCCAATATGCGCGGCCGCCTCGCGGCCACGAGCGGCTCGCTAACCCGGGTCAACCAAAGGGGGTCTTCGCAAGATCCTGCATGATCCGGTGCCCTGGCTGACCCCCGTTTGCATTGACCCCCGTCTTTTGAGCCCCGATTCCTGCCTCATAATACTCTACCGGGACACGCGCCAACACAACCGATCCGCGCTCCGAAACCGCCCGACCCCCCAGGGGGACGCCCGCGTGGCCCCACGCAACACTGCAACGACTGGTGCCGACCCTCCTCATTCTGCTCCTCCTCCTCCTCCTCCTCCTCCTCCTCCTCCTCCCTCTCCTGCACGTGGTAGTGGTGGTGGAACATGTGCCCATCATGTACGGAACGCCCGCTGATGGCAACCTCTGCGCGCAGACTTCCTTCCCCCCTGGGGGGGCCCGCCGCGTCTCTCCCGCTCTGCGGGTTCCGTTGATTGGGCGGTCCCCCTGAGGGGGCCCTGGCCGTGCTGTATAGGCTCCGAGTATCGACGATGAGAGATGGAGGATGGTGGAGGGGAGGGAGAAACATGCATGAGCAGGGGACATAAAAATAACATAAACATAACAACTCGGAGGTCCGCGCGGATTTCTGGGATCCGCGCTGGACCCCCCTCCCTGGCGCGTGGAGCGCGCCAGGGGCGGCGCCGGAGGCGCCGCCAGGGGGCCCCAGCGCGGATCCGAGAAATCCGCGCGGACCTCCGAGTCTCTATGTTTACGGCATTGCTCGTTCCACTAATGAGACATGCTAAGAAAGGTTTCGTCCATTCTGCTGGCCCACGCGGGCCGCTTCCCCCAATTCTCCTGGGACCACGTGAAAACGTAAGCGCGAAACGTGCTCCCAACGCGAGGCCAACGCGCGTTGACAGCTCCCGGGACAAGTAAAACAACAACGGGTAGGATGCGCCCTCGGGGCTGCGAGAGCCTCGCCTCGGCGCGCCCTTCAAGCATGTCCTGCGCCGCACTTTGCTAGGACACGTGGAACATGCTAGTGATCTGCGTTCCGAACAGGCCACGAAGGGCTCACCTCTGGACATCCCTCACTCCTTTCCTGCAGGATGATCTACTGGGACGCGTGAAAATACGATCAACCTGCGCTCTCAGGCGGGCGCACCCCTCACGCCCTCAGCTGACCCCTCAGATGCCTCAGGGGAGCTTAAAATCGGGGCACCCCTCATGCACTTCGTCCTCCATGGGCATGCTACAGGCCGTCCGATTCCCCTACGGGACGTCCAAATGGTTTCAAGAAACACTGCACTGGTTGATCCCGACCTTCGTCGACGCAGTATCCCTAACACCCACGGTTGCAAAATCTGCGTGCGCGCCTCCCCCTGGGGGCCCGCCGTGACTCCCGCTCTGCGGGCGCAGTGGGGAGCGCGAAGCAGTAGGACCACACAAATCAACGACGTGTCCAACGAGCCCCGCTCTGAACAGTGGCGATCCCCTCCGTATACTTGTTGCGTACGTTCATGTTTACACTTCTGGTTGAAGACACCCGAACTGATAACCTCATCTGGCAAATCACTTCCTTCAATCCGTGCAGCTGCTACACCTGTTCAACTTTTTGGTCGCTAAACTTGAGAAAGGCATACGCGAGACCTACATATTGAACAACGAGCCGTCCTCCATCCTTGTAGCTGTTCCAAACATTAAAGGCACAGATGCGCGGCGCTTAGACGAGAGCCACATCTTGAGAAGGAACTGCCCTCCATCCTTGTGGCTGTTGCAAGCTTTTAGGACGAACGACGAGAGCACCATCCTGAACATCGCCCCCTCCATCTTGTAGCTGCTGCAAGCTTTTAAAGCGAATGTGCGCGACGCTAAGGCTGGAACCCCATTTTTTACCGCCCCTACCCATCCCTGTAACAAGTCCAAATTCCAAACTTCAAGAACATGACTTGCGGGGAACTCTCAAGCGAAACACTCAACCCACCCGATACGTGTGAATGTGCGGCACAGGAGGTATCTGTACGGAAAAGGGTTTGAGGTGGAATAGGGGTAGTCATCTGATAAACTATGATGTGGAGGAAAACAAAGAGCAAGGGGATGTCGAGCGTGCCCAAAGGAGGAAGAAGAAGAGGAGGAGGAGGAGGGGGAGGAGGAGGATGAGTAATCGGGAATCGATGTCCTTGGGCATGACTCGCCCTTTTTGGGTCTCTGGGTGGCTCCTCGCCATCACGGCTGGATGCTCACTGAAACTCTTGCCAGAACGCACACTTTGACAAGTCCAGGGGGTACTTTTGGAGGGGGGAGGAGGATGAGGAGCAGGAGCAGAATGAGAGGCATCCAAGGGTCTTCCTAAAACTCGTTAGTGCGCCCAATTCCCTGGTGTCACGCACCCTGGATAGCACCGTGGTCGCACACGCCCATTGTGACTGACACTCAGGATCAGCGCAATCGTTGGGCAAATCGAAATCGAACGCTGGGTGCTTGCCATTGGCGCCGCTTGTTTGGTCCACTCACCATGTCCTGCCTCTAGTGAGACTGTGCGGCTTGGACCCAATGCCAGCGGGACATGGGTGACCAAAGGGGGATACATCCGAACGCTCCCTTGAGGCTCAAGCAAGATCGCGGGAAAGACCGATGCCAATTGCCATGTTCTTTCCGGTGCATATCTATATATATATATATATATATATATATATATATATCTGTACGTATATATGAATATATATATATATATATATATATGTAAAGTGTGTATCTGTGCAGATCTGTACGTATGCAGGTGCATGTGTGTGTATATACCTGTGTATGTATGTGTACATATATGTTTACACACATATATATATGTACACAGATGTGTGGATCTCAAACCCTGCGAATGCACGGTTTCCCCCGGGGCCGTAGGCGACCCGAGGAGGAGGAGGTGGAGGAGGAGGAGGAGGAGGAGGAGGGGGAGGAGAAGGAGGGGGAGGAGGAGGAGGAGGAGGAGGGGGAGGAGGAGGAGGAGGACGGGTCGCCTAAGCCCTTCGGAGAAACCCTCCACTCCAGAGACCTTTGGACGCAACTGCAGAAGGTCCGCCCCTGGGCTTTTTCGGGGCTCCTGGCCGCCGATGCTGGGCCTAGCTGGCGGGCCCAGATCAGCCAGGAGGGCGGCCCAACGGTCCCACCAGAGTTCCAAGCGGTTCCAGACGCCCACCAGACGCCCGAAAACGACCCAAAGAGGATCCCCAACGAGGCCCCCGAAAGGCAAACCACAGTTGTTTTTCTCATGAATTCTGTGCGACTGTCGGAATTCTGGATTCTTCGGTTTTCCGACTACCCAAGGAGGCCAGAAAATAGATCCAAAACTATCCCTAATGGCTGAGGCAATCCAAGATGAGCCCCCAGCCCAACAGGGCCACAAGACGGCCCGAAGAGAACCCCATGACGGCCCTAGATAGACCCAAGACGCTCCACGAGGCACGCCAACTCGTGACCTGGTCTTTCGGGGAGACCGCGGTTGGAAGCAGGGTGGCCCAAGGAAGCCCCCAGAGGCCCTCAGAAGGCGCCCAGGAGGCCCCAAGAAGCCCTTCAAAACTTTCGTGAGACGCCCAAGAAGTTCTCCAATGAGGAACCTCCGCACGAAGAGCTGAGGAGGACGGAGAAGGGTTCGCAAGGTAGTGCGAGAATGAGGAAGAGAACACATGGAAGAAACATACATAGTAACACTGTTATAACGGCGATGCCGGAAAACAACAATAACGTTTCATGAACTTTGCTTGCTTACCTTCCTCTCCCTCGGCCGGTATGCGAACTTTGAAGGGCCAAGGTGCATGGCGCGAGGCACCGATGCAGTACTGCGTGTGTGTAAATATATGTGTGTATATATCTCAACACAAACAGTGCTTGCTCTCATGGGGCTCTTATTTCTTTTCTGAAGTACTGGGCCTGTGCGTCGGTCTTGCGGCTATGTTGTTGCTGTCGCCGCCCCGTCCCCGACCATCGTCTGGGCCTGTGGGTCGGTCTGGCGGCTATATTGTCGCCGTCGCCGCCCCGTCGCCGCCGTCGTCGCTCGTCGCTGCCGCTAGAAAGAAATGCATCACGCACATTGCAACGTATATGTTGCTTCACAGATAATGCACAACATCGTTTGTACATGGTCTTACATGTATTGACCACGTGTATAGAACACCATCGAGTGTACCACATACATGGCACATTACATAGGACTGCACCACATGTACATTGCACACGCGATCTTGCACACTATATACCACACCACGCCGATGTCGACGAAACTACGGTCTTACATATATTGTACCACACACGTTGCACACCCTATGTTGCACCACATATGTTGCACCACGACTTTTACACACCATGGTTTGCACCAAATAGACTGCCCCACATATGATGCATATCATGTGTTGCTCCGCATAAATTGCACAACATATATTGCACCACATAGTTGGCAACGCATAAAATGCACAACACGTACTGCACACCATCGATTGTACCACTTAGCTTGCGCCACATAGACTGCACCACACCTACTGCTGTACATACGTGGTACAACATATATTCAATGTTCACCAGCATGGACCCCACGCAGTGATTTCCTAAAACCTATGCTGTGCATTCTGGGTGGTGCAATCTAGGTGGTGCAACACATTTGGTAACCGAACTGGCACAAAGCAATGCCAAGCAACGCAAAACAACGCGAAGCAAAGCAATGCACACCAACACGCGTGAGGGCAATGCGATAACAAAGCAATGTGCAACGCAATCCAACGCTATGGAAAGCAATGCACATCAATGCAATGGAAAGCAACGCACGGCAATGCAAAGCAACGCACATTTATGCACATCCATGCATTGCAAGGCAAAGTAACGCACAGCAGTACAAGGCAACGCAAACCACTGCGAAGCAATGCAGAGCAACGCGCCATGCGAAGCGAGCGGCGACGAGACGGCGAGCGGCGACGAGGCGGCGACGAGGCGGCGACGGCGGCCACATGGCGGCTGGAGCGGCCCGCAGGCCCAGGTGGCGACGGGGTGGCGACGGCGCGGCGACGTCGACCACATAGCCGCCAGACCGACAACACGGCCCAGACGACGGGCGGCGACGATGCGGCGACGGCATGGCGACGGCGACGGCGACCACATAGCCGCCCGACCGACCACACGGCCAAACTCCTTTAAAGAAATAAGAACCCGTAAGTGTAAGCACCCTGGGAAACTACAAATAAAGTAGTGCACGACGTAGATTGCAACGCATAGATGTCACCACATAGATAGCACGCAACATGCTGCAACCCAGATATAATATAATACTAATAGTAATACTAATACTACTAATAATATTAATAATATTAATAATACTATTAAGAATAATAATAAATTTGTATACATGCATACACATATACATACATGTATATATACATAGATGTCACAGCTCATATTGCACAGCATCGATTGCACAACATATAGCACACGCACACCATATTGCACCACATAGATTGCACAACACATTTCAAACCATATAGTATTAGACACACACACACACTGTTTGGGGCACACGCTGGCTAACATTGTGCGTGTCCTCACAAATGGATGCGTGTGTATATTTATATGCCCGCCACCGTGCCGCTGGGCGCGGTGTGGGCGCGTTCTCAAGTCCTTTAACTAATCACTGAAACACTCCTGATTAGTCTTTGAAGGGCCTGGGGCTCAAATTCACAAATCTCCTGGTCCTTCCCGCGTCTTCTCGGGGCTTGACGCGTGACCGTTTCGCGCCCAAGAGTGCCCGAAGAACACGGGCCAAGAGGACCCTCAAGACGGTCCAAGAGGACCCCGAGTCGCCGAACAATCGCTCCATGACGCTCAAGATGGAGCCCAGACGGTCCAAGAGGCCTTCAAGACGTCCCAAGAGGCCTCCAAGAGGCCTCGCAAGAAGGCCCCAAGAGGCCCACATTCTTGATTTCCCTATGGTGTTTTACAATTGTTGGCGCTCTCGCCTTTTCGACTTCCCGGCGCTCCCAGACGGCCCTGGAGGCCCCCAAGATCGCCCCAAGACTGCCCGAGAGGGCTCCAAGAGGGCCCCAAGACTGCCCCACGACGGCACAAGAGGCGCCCAAGACTGCCCAAGAGGCCCCAAAGACGACTTCAAGAGGGGGGCCAGATGGAGGGCCCGAGCGGACACTTTCGAGCCCTCGGCTCCGAAGGGCACCCTGGAGGTCCGAAAAGGCCCCCAGGCCCCCAAGAGGCCCCAAGAGGCCTCCAAGAGGCCTCAAGAGGCCCCCAAGAGGCCCCCAAGGAGCTCCCAAAGAGGACCCAAACTGCCCCCAAGAGGCTTCCGAAAGCGCTCCGAAGAGACTCCGAGAAGCATCCCTGAGAACTCTGGCCAAGAACCCAGGCACGGTGAAGGGATGGGCTGAAGGCCATTATACATTTGCCTACGAAAACTCTAGACAATGAGGTATTACACTGTTGACGTGTGAAATATGTGATGATGATATATATATATATATGTATATATATATATATATATTTGACAAGGTCTGGAAACCCTTAACCAAAACCTTGCCATCCCTTGGGAGGCAGATGTTTACTTCCGCCGGCTTCCGCCGACCTTCTGCCAGCTTCCGCCAGCTGAGCCACCCCCGTTCTACTTCTGCCTTTTCCCGCCGAGGAAGAGATGGCAACTCATTCGATCCTTGAATGCGAGGCCTTTTTTTTTGGAATGCCTGATATACGTATGTACAGTCACAAGTGCACGAGAACCATCGCACGCGTTCAAGCTCAACATGTCTCGGAACCTAACGTATAGCGCACAAGATGACCTCGACCAGAGAAATTGATACCGCGGGTTTCGAAGACAACGGTTTCGCTGCCGAATGCGCGATTGGGGTCAGTGCTCGGATTAGGGCGATGGGTGCACAACTTATCCCACCAGCCCTATGGGCGACAGTGGTTTAGAGCGTTCCCTCTTCCAACCCCCCTTCTTTCCCTTCGGGGAGGGGCCTCCCCCCTCCCCCTGGGTTTTGACGGGGCGTTCCCCGAGGGATTGGAGCGTCCAACATGGCCTCGGCGAGGAAGTCAATATCATCGATCATACTAGACGACGTTTGACCACGTTTTGAGCGATGGGTGCACTACTAATTTCAAATTCGTATGCAATTCACCCCGCTGCTGCCCCCCCCACCCCGCCTCCGTGCTATCCGACAGCCAGTGTCCGGGAGCGGAGGAGCCATGGAGAGGGGAGGTGGGCCAACGGGGGAGGGCAGAACGGAGCAGGGAGGGATGAGAGATGAGAGGAAAAGGAGGGACGAGGGAGAGGGATGAGCAAGAGTTGGGGACGAGGAAAGAGGATGACGAGGACACTGATGATGATGCTGATGATGTTGATGATGCTGATGCTGATGCTGATGGTGGTGGTCATGATAATGAACATGATGCTGATGATGTTGATGATGGTGATGATGGTGGTGATGATGTTGCTGCTGATGATGCTGATGTTGATGACGATGATGCTGCTGGTGATGATGTTGATGATGATGATGATGTTGATGATGATGGTGGTGATTATGAGGATTATGCTGATTAGGATGATGCTGCTGCTGATGCTGCTGCTGATGATGATGATGAGGAGGAGGAGGAGGAGGAAGCTGATGCTGTTGATGATGACGAAAATGATGAGGAGGAAGAGTAGGAGAGGGATGAGGGATGAGGGAGGAGTGATGGCGAGGGAGGAGGGACGATGAAGGTTGGTTTTCAACACCCCTACTTCGTCCAATCGTCTTTGCGCCGTCTCGGAAGCTCTCGGGCGTGTGCTGGAAGCTCCGTCTTGGGTGTCTCGTGATGCCGTTGTGAAGCCGTATGGAGGGGCCCCTGGTCTGTTTCGGGGGTCATGGGGCCCTCTTGGGCCATCTCGGGTTTCTCAAGGCCGTCCTGATTGCGCCCTGGGGCGGCTGAACGCATTGGGCCCATCTGGCCACGAGGCCGGGATTGTGGACGAGACGCCTCTCAGATGCCTCCTCGTCGGGTCTCTCGGGAGGCCTCTTGGAAGCGTTCTCTGGGCCTCTTGGGATCTCCTGGGGGCCTCTGGGGGGGGTGTTCGGGGCCTCTGGGGCCTCTTGGGGGCATGCTGGGGGTCTTGAGGGCAGTCCTTGGAGGAAATGCTCCCAAAGTCTCTTCGCTTTCCTGCTCTTGGGCCTCTCTCGGAATATCTTGGGCCCTCTTGGGGGGCCTCGTAGGCTGTCTTGGGTAGCCATTGAGCCGACTAGGGGACCTCTTGGCCCGTCCTTGAGCGATCATAGGGGGCCCCTTGGGCCGTCTTGGGCGGTCTGAAGCCAGAAAACCTGAGCACTCCTCCTCGCCCTCCTCCTCCTCCTCCTCCTGCTCCCTCCCTCCCTCCCCTCCCTCCCTCCCCTCCCTCCCCTCCCTCCCCCCTCTGGAAGCCGAGCCGCCCGCCGAGGACGGCGTGGGCAGGTCCGAGAGCACGGCGGAGCTGGCGGCCGGGCTCAGCAACCCGAAGCCGCCTCTCTCCCGCAGGCCGGCCCCGGGCGCGGCTCGCTCGCCAGAGCGGCGGGAGGCAGGGAGGCGGGGGGCGGGTGGAGGTGGGCGGCGGAGGAGGAGGAGGAGGAGGGGGAGGAGGAGGAGGAGGGGGAGGAGGAGGAGGAGGAGGAGGAGGAGGAGGAGGAGGAGGAGGAGGAGGAGGAGGAGGAGGAGGAGGAGGAGTGAGGAGGTGGGCGGCGGAGGAGGGGAGGAGGGGGAGGAGGGAGGAGGAGGGGGAGGAGGAGGAGGAGGAGGAGGAAGAGGGGGAGGAGGAGGAGGAGGAGGAGGAGGAGGAGGAGGAGGGAGGAGGAGGAGGAGGAGGAGGAGGAGGAGGAGGAGGAGGAGGAGGAGGAGGAGGAGGAGGAGGAGGAGGAGGAGGAGGAGGAGGAGGATTACGTGCGGTCAAGTGTTCACCCTGGAATAGTTGTTCATGGTCCTGGTGTCCGAAACTGGCCCCGAGGCCGAAAAAGGCAAACAACCTTCCCGTACCCAGCGCCTCGAACCTGCCACCCTTAGAGGACCTCCATGCGGAATGTGCGAGAAGGATGCACGCCCCTTGGACGCACCTGAGCGCCGATCAAAAAGGGGTCTTACGCGTGATTGCACAGCGACCTCACGCGGCGGCTCACGCGGGCCGCGAGCGTGGCACGCCACATTGGAAGCGGGAGCGCTTACGCGCGACCTTACGTGGGCAGCTTACGCGCCGATGTCGGCGCAGACGAACCCCTTCTGTTGCGTCGCTCATGTGTCGAAGCTTTTCGAGAGGGGCTCGCCATCGCAAGTGGTCAAGTATGGAACGAGCAGGCAAGGATGCAAGGGTACCCTTGGGAAGGTTACCCATCCTTGCCATTGGATTCCACTGTAGATGGGGTCGGAGGATCGCGCCGCATCGGCGATGCATAGGCGATTCGGCTCGAAGATGAGCCCGATGTTCTCCACGCCGACGGCGCCTGGACCTCGCCTCGGGGAGGCCTCGAGGACCTCGTTGCTGGCGATGGGGCACCCCCCTGGCGGCGGTGGCGTCGCCTCTCCTGCCTCCGGCTGCCCCGAGCAGGAGGCCCGAAGAACCCCGGCATCCTCGCGTGCGTGTCGAGGACAGAGGACCGAGCGGGCTTTCGTGCTTTGTGGCGGGTTCTCCGAGCGTTTCTCGCCTTGGGGAGACGTTCCAGCGGCTGTGCCTCGTCGAGAGCTTCCAGCGGGGTCCTCCTCCTCCCCCTCCTCCTCCTCCACCTCCTCCTTCTCTTTCCTCCCCCTCAGCCATCTGTTTCCTCCTGCGCGGAGGAGGGGGAGGAGAGGAGAGGAGAGGAGTTGAGAGGGGGATGATGATGATGTTGTTGATGATGATGCTGTTGTTGATGATGCTGTTGAGCATGGTGATGGCAATTCTGGTGATGATAGCGATTGCCATGGTGATGATTTTGAGTATGATGCTGAGTATGATGATGAATGTGATGGTGATGGTGATGATGGTAATGCGGATGATGTTCACGATGATAGTGACGATGATACTGCTGCTGCTGCTGATGATGCTGCTGCTGATGATGATGGTATGATGATGGGGGTGCTGATGGTGACGATGCTGTTGTTGACAATGATGATAATGATGATAATGATGATGATGCTGATGATGATGATGATGATGATACTGATGATTCTGATGATGATGATGATGCTGATACTGATGCTGGGGATGATGATGATGCTGATGATGGTGAGTATTATTATGATGCTGATGGGGATGATGACGACGATGATGATGATGATGCTGCTGCTGATGATGATATGCTGTTGCGGTTGCTGTTGATGATGATGCTGATGATGGTGATGCTACTCCTGATGCTGTTTGGTCAACGACGGAACTATGGTCTGCCCTGACCAGGCTGGGATCCTTCCAACTTGCACCACGAGCGTTGCTCCGACCCGCCGGGTGTGGCGCAGATGCAGGCTGAGTGCGCACAAGGTCAGTACTCCCGTTGCTGCTGATGCTGGTGCTGCTCTATCCCACCACAGAAGACAGCACGCAACAGGTCCAGGTGGAGTATGAAGCACGACTTCTGCCCCGTGATGACGCTGCTGCTGATGATTGTGCTGCTGCTGCTGCTGCTGATGAGGATGCTCCTATTGCTGCTGCTGCTGCTGCTGCTGCTTTTGCTGATGACTGTGATGCTGCTAAGGATGCTCCTGCTGCTGCTGATGCTGCTGCTGCCGATGAGGATGACGATGCCAACGATGATTGATGGATGTGATGACAGACGATGGCGGGTGATGAATGGTGATGGTGGTGGAGGTGAAGGAGGGAGAATGAGAGACTAGGATGAGGAGCAAGCCCGGGAGGAGGGTTAGATTCAGCTCATGGAAGAGGAGGAGAAAAAGGAGAAGGAGGAGGAGGAGGAGGAGCAGCTGTAATCCGCTGGTAACCAGCGGGCGTCCCTCGGGTGTGGCAGCGGAGGGAGGGGACTAGCGAAGAGGTTGCTAGCAAGGGTAACGACCGCTGGGGAGAGGGACAGCGAGGCGGCGCACGAGGCTGCACCGGCACGCGGGTCATTGCAAAAGCCTCCCCCCCTCCCCCTTCCCGAGCGGTCTCCCGCCACCCACCGCTCGCGACCAGGGCGGCGTCTCGGTGCCCCCGGGCTCCATCTATTCACCTCCGAGGGGGCCACGCCAGCCCGCTTCGTTCAAGGGCCAGGGGCACAGGGTGTCTCCATTCGCTTCGGCGCAGGCTCGGCCATGTCAAGGATTCGACAACTGGCACTTGGGAGGGCCCTCCTTGCTGTAGCGCTGCAAGTTTCGATGTAATCCTGTATCCTGGACATCCTGAACGCACCTTGGACACATGCGAGCGAGCTTCGCCTCGAACCAGACCATGGAGAAGGAGGAGGGGGAGGACGAGGATACAGGCGCTGTCTTCCTCTTCCTCCTCCTCCTCCTCCTCCTCCTCCTCCACATCGCCTTCGCTGGCGCTGTCCTTCGCCTCCCCCTCCCTTCTCGTCCTGCTCCCTGTCCCCCCTCCGCAGGCCCGGGAGGTCCTGTGGTGGCCGACACGGGGACGCTCGTTGTGCCGCCAGCGCTGAGGACGCCTTTCACCTCTCGCGGAGGCTGCAAAGTACCATCGCTACGTCCCTCTGCCGCATCCTCCCGCCTCATGTCTCCTGCCCCTCCTCCTCCTGCTGCTATTTCCCTCCTCTCTCCCTCTCCTCCTTCTCGCTCCATTCCTCCTCCCCGTCCTCCTCTTAACACTTACACATGATAAGCACTACTCTCCTCTCTCCCCTGACTCTGTCTGGAAGATATCCAGCCCTCTCCATGTACTGTTCCCACACACAAGGTTTCAAGCATTGATCTTACATATGACCTTTTCCTTTCGCAAGGTATTCAGTCAGTGTCTCAAATAAGGTGCTGCCGCTGCAGCGCTGGCCTCATTTTAAGATCGGCGCTTTACACCCGTTGTTTAGAATGGCGCTCTCGCCCCAGCGTGGACCACTTTTCTGGATCCGAATCCTTCCTCATCGTTGTCGCCCCCCTCTTTTCCCCTCTTCCGCCTTCCCCTGGTCCTCCTGCTCTTCCCGCTGCTTCCATTCCAATTCCCGCGGCTGCTGTTCATCCTCGTCCTCGTCCTCCTTCCTTCGCCTCCTCCTTTTCCTCCTGCTCATCCGCGTCCTCCTCCTCCTTCTGTGTACGCAGCTCCCCTGTCAGATTGCGGATCACACGATGAGGTCTTCTTGGGAATTCCAGGTCCACCATGACACGCGTGAACGGACAGAGGAACAATCTGCGCACTTTCCTCTCACCGCACCTTCCCGCCCCCCCTCTTTCTCTCTCAGACTGACTCTCACTCAGACTCAGTCATACTCAGACTCACTCACGCTCAGACTCACTCACATCCTCCTCTTCCTCGCTCAGACTCGCTCATAATCAGGCTCACTCGCGCCCAGACTCACACTAATGCTCGCAGATTGAGGATGCCGCGACCGATTTGCCAGTTTCAGCACCCCACAAGGGAGCCGCCAAGGGTGGATTCATGGCCCCGTTCGCGGCCAGATTGTGGGGCTGTCTCGGGCGGTTTGCCAGCTTGCTGGCTTGGACTTTGGTGCTTTCTAGACAAGCACTCTGGATGTCCCGACCGGTTCGCCGGTTTCAGCACCTCCGGGGGTGGTCTGCCAGGGGAGGCTGCCTGGTCCGCTCGAGGCCAGGCTGTGGGGACGTCCGAGGCGGTTCGCCTGCTCGGTGGCTTCGACTCGGTGCTCGCGACACAGATTGTGAGGGTATCTCCACCGTAGACGGGCTAACGGCGATGTAGGTAACGGCGATGTAGGTTTCGGTAATGTGGGAACGCGTGGCTCGCGCTTTCCTACAATTCGCTGTGTCGTGTTCGCTCGATCCGTTCGCAGATAGGAGATGTAGGAAACTGCGGCCCGCGATTTTCTACGATTTAGTTCCCAACATCACCGTTGAGCAACATCGCTGTTAGCCCGCCCTTGGATTTGCTGCTTTCAGCACCCCCAGGGGATGATCCGCCGGGGCCCGTTCGCGCCCAGATGGTTGGGCTGTCTCTGGCGGCGTGCCCGACTTGGCCAGCCGACCTGGCGGCTTTCTCAGAGCAGGTCGTGAGGATGCCGTGAGCGAGGCGCTGGTGTCGGCACCCCCGAGAGGGAGCTGAGGAGGAGGAGGAGGAGGAGGAGGAGGAGGAGGACCAGGGGTGGCTCCATGGCCCCGCTCATTTACTGTCAGGTCGGGCAAGTCCTCCTACAGGCGGAGTTTGGGCGACAGATGGAGAACAGTCCAAGAAACAACAGAAATAACCAAACATCGTCGACACATCGTCCCCCGACTATTGTTTGACTATTTCTGAAAATTCCTCCTGTAGAGGGACACGCCCGACTCAAGTCTGGTGGCTTGGATGTCGGCGCGTTCAATGCAGATTGTCAGGGTGTGTCCGCCGAATTGCCTAAATGCTTCCTAGATGGGGTCGGAGTGGATGGGGTCGGAGGATCGCGCCGCATCGGCGATACATCGCCGATGCACCGGCGATGCACTGGCGATGCATCGGCGACGTCGGCGATGCATCGGCGACGTCGGCGTGGGGAAATCGGGCTCTGCATCGAGCCGCATCGGCGATGCATCGTCGATGCGGCGCGATCCTCCGACCCCATCTAGGATGAAGGGGCCCTGGGACACACAAATAAATAGACACAAATAATAGGATTCCCCATATTTGCCAATATTTTCTGGGTTTTCATCTTCCCCCCACTTCCCATATTTTCCCATATTTCCCGGGGGAATCGACGATTCATTGTGTCTGCGTGTTTTTTCCCTCCTGAATCTACGAGGCGTAGATTGCTGGCTTCAGCCCCCCCCCCCCCCCGGGGGGGATCCGCCGGGGCCCGTGCGCGCTCAGATGCGTGGGATGCCGCGGGCGGTCTTTTGTGCCCGTCCTGGCCCGTCTGCCTCGCTGCTCTCGGCGGTGGACGAACCTCCCTTCAGTAAACCTCCCTTTAGTGAGAACGGCCTGGGACAGAAACCGACGGACCTGGACCCGCAGAAATGACGGCCGCGACGCCCTCTCGCGAACCGAAAACGGCCAATTCGCTAATCGACGTGTCAGGGTAGGAGGTCTGTCCACCCCCGATGCTCTCTCTCTCTCTCTCGCACACACAAAATGCCAGACTGTGAGTGCTCACCGCCTGTTTGTGCGCTGCTGCTGTTGTTGCTATTCGTATTAGCATTGTTATTCGTATTATTATTATTATTATTCTTATTATTACTATTATTATTATTATCATTATAATTCGTGTTGTTGTTGTCGTCGTTGTCGTCGTCGTTGTTGTCGTTGTTGCTTGTGTTGTTGTTGTTGCTGTTGTGACTGATATGGTTGTTGTTGTCGTCGTCGTCGCTATCCATCATCGGTGCCGCCGCCGCCGTCGTTGTCGTCATTCCCGTCGTCCACTTGAACTCGCTCTCGCACCCGATACTCACCAGCAGGTACTCACAGCAGGACGTGCCAAGAACTGACATGCACAGATGGAGATCTCCGAATCGAAGACGTTTCTTCTTCTTCTTCTTCATCTCCTTATTATTCATCCTCTTGTCCCTCCTCTACCTCCACTTCCGCCTCATTGTCCTCCATCATCTTCTCCTCCTCCTCCACCTCCATTTTCTCTTCCTCCTTTCCTCCCTGCCCATTTACAATTACTCAATCTGAATACTACTCTCCCTCTTCCCCTGATGACGGCCTGGGAATGTCCGACCCCCCCCACCGCGTACTGTTTTCTTACACACAAGTTTCCCCGGAATTGGGTTTTCGCAGCATTTTTTCAAAATGCTGCTCTCGCTGAGGCGCCGGCCTCATTTTCGGGCCCCGCTCGTTCCGAATCGTGCTCCCGCTGCAGCGCTGGCCTCATTGCCGTGCTTCCGCTCGTTCCGAATCGTGCTCCCGCTGCAGCGCTGGCCTCATTTCCGCGCTTCCGCTACGCTTTGATCTTCAACGCCATGCTATGCAATGTTATGTTCGGGGCCGCTGTGCGATGCCATGCTTTGCGTTGCAAAGCTTTGTAATGCAATTCTTCACTACGCCACGCCACGCCATGCTGTGCCATACTACGCTTTGCGGTGCTCTTCTACGCCATGCCATGCCGTGCTCTACAATGCATCGCGTACCCTTTCGGGATCATTGCCCTGCTCGACATCCGACTGTGCGAGTAGAGAGGGGATCTGCGACATGGTAAGGGATGGGAGGGAGGGGTATAATGTCAGATATGACGCGAACGCACCTAGCTTGCCCGTCCCCCTCTCCGTCATCCCCCCTATCAATCTTCTCTCGCGGCGGAGGGGACACCAAGAGGGAGGAGATGCGGGGTGGGGAGGGATGGACGCGACGGCGTAGGAGGGGAGACGAAGGGGGGAACAAGAACAGGAAGGAGGGGGAGAAAGAGGGGAGGAAGGTCGGAAAGGAACGGTGGGAGGAGCGGTGAGAGGGAGGGCGAGAGGGAGGGAGGAGGGAGGGAGGGGGGATGGAGGGAATGAGGCGTGAGCGGGAGTGGAAAGGGAGATAGAGGAGGGGCGCAGGGGGGGGGAGGACGGGGAGCACACAAGTCGTGCTGGCGCTTACGTTCGGCTTTCCTGGAAGCGCGCGGAACTCCTGAATCAGCGCCGGACCCCTCTCCCTGGCGCGCGCCGCCAGGGAGGCCCACGCGGAGATGCAACATTTTCTAGGGGTATGTAATTTTGTGCTTCGGTTCTTGTATGGTACCCACAGAATTTCGGCGGCGAGCCTGGGGGGAAATGAGAAGGGGCGGGCCTTCTCAGAAGGCTCGGAAGTCCCCCGGCCTTCTGAGAGTTTCTTAATCCTCCCCGGAAGACGCAGAGAACTCCTCAGAAGGCGCGAGGGCTTCTGAGAGGTCCCGCCGCCTTCTTAGAAGGCCTTCCCCTTCTCACTTCCCCCCCTCGCTCGCCGCCGAATGGCGGGCCCCAGCGCAGATCCAAGAAATCCGCAGGAGCAGGAGGATGAGGAGGAGGACGAGGATGAGGATGAGGACCAGCGTAAACCCCAGAGTCATCAACGATGTTGGAATTAACCCTCCGTCCAAGCTCCCTCATCATAGGCCCCTACAATGGTTCATCATTCCCATTGAGGGAACTGCCTCGTTGGAAGACAACCGTTTGAAGATCCTGAAACATGCCAAAACATGGTTCTCAAGATTTCAACGCCACGTATCACCCTGACTGCTGCGTTTTGGCGATCCGGAATCGTGCCATAACGCCATTTTTTGGATTTCAACACCGCGAACCAATATACTTATTGCTCCCGCAAAATCCCGAATCTTTCCAAAATACCATTTTTGGTACGCTGATCATGTGAAGCCGTCAATCTCTTGTAACCGTCTAAACCGAATGTGCGCGGCACTCAGGCGAGAACCACATTTTGAAAACGACCCGCTTTTAATCCGCGAGCCGCTTGCCAATTTTTGCAACGAATGTGCGCGGCGCTGAGGCGAGAGCCGCATTTTGAAAACGGCTCGCCCACAATCCGTGACGCTCTTGCAATTTATCCAAAAGCGAATGTGCGCGGCGCTAAGGCCAGAGTCACA